TCCGTTGGTGACCTTTAAGTTACCGTCCTTTAAGTGTTGGTGTAGTTTCTTTATCGTGACCACGATTGCATGCTCCTCTTTCGTCAGTAGCCACTTTATTCGCTTATTGATAATTTCTTGGCCTATTTCATAGCGATCAGAGTACTCGTATTTTTTTGGGTTTTCTGCAAAGAGGCGGATGCCGTAGTAGGTAGGGTCTGTGGCAGTCCCATCCATGAGGCGTTCCATCCCCTCGTCATCGACGTGGCTGTGACCTGGTTCGGTTTGGTCAGGTGTGGGTGGTGGGGGACCAGGTGTGTCGAGAGGGGTATCACTGAGGATATCCCTGGTTTCAGCCTCTGAGGGGATGTGTATGTACTTTGGCCTCACAGATGGGCCTGTGGTGGGGGGTGCGGATGTTGGTGATGACTCCTGGGGAGATGACTGGGGTGCAGCTGTCTGGGCCTCAGCAGGCTGAGGCTCTGACATCTGGGCAGGCTGGGGCTCCTGTACCTGAACCCGTACAGTCTGAGGTCTCTGGGGCTGAGGTTGTGGTGCCTGAACCTGTGAAGGTTGAGGCCTCTGGGGCTGGGGTTGTGGTGCCTGAACCTGTGGAGGTTGAGGTCTCTGGGGCTGGGGTTCAGGAGGGGCCTGGACAGTCATGGTTGGGGGCTCAATGACTTTGAGGATTCCCCAGGAGTTTGAATCTCCGAGATCGAGATCAGGGAGATTGTTGTTTGCCAAAGCTGCCTTGGCATGGTGTCTGAACCCTTTCTCAGGGGCAATGAGGTTCTGAAGGTGGGCGTGGAGAAGGACCACGAGTATCTCTTTGGAGAGATTATCAGGGAGGGCAAGGTGGATTGTGGGATCAGGGGTCTTTTGCTTGATGTCCTGACGGACCTGGTTTATTAAAGGCTTCCAGGCATTGGTGGTAGCCTGCACAGTTTCCTGTGCTGCCTTTTGGGCCACAGCCCTGATGGGTCTGGTCTCCTTCTCCTTCTCCTTCTCCTTCGACTTCTCCTGAGAAGTCTTCATTGCCTCCTTTCTCATGGGGCAGCTATTGGCAAATGTCCTGTGGGCACCCCCACAGTTAAGACATTTCTTGACTTGACTTCTACAGTCCCTAAATGAGTGGGTGGAGGAACCACATTCAGTGCATCTGGTCCTCTTCTCCTCTTTGCAGTGGTTTTTCAGGTGGCCATATCCAAAGCAATTCATACATTGCCGGATAGGGGTGTACCTTTCGAACTCTATCTGCCAGGGGGCAACATACAGCTTGAAAAGGTACATCCCCTTCTCCTTGATTGCTTTGGCAGTGGCATGGTCCGTGAATCTGACTTTGATGATGTGGTTGGCCTTCATCACAAAGATGTTGTCAACCTGGGCCTCTGGGAAGGCGGCAGTGATCTCGTCCTCGATATCGAGGGGGATTCATTAACGACCTGACGGTCCAGTTTTTTAAAGACAAGCGTGAGCTTCGCCTTCATGTCCACAGGTAGGACGGGGGAGAAAGCCAAGCTTCTCCAGAGACAGGACGACATCCTTTGAGAAGAGTTTCTCGGCTTGGATGTCGTCGTCGATGAGGGCCAGGTATCCATCCTGGATAGCTATGTACCGAAGTACTCTGATCTCAGCACCATAGAGTGCATTGGCGAGCAAGTCACGTTTCCTCGGTGAGGGACCACCGAGGACTTTGATCTTAATTTTGGCCATGGTCGGGGGACATAAGGGTGGCAGGGGTATGCAGGTGAGGTGAGAGAGGAGAGGAGAAGGTGAGAGTGAAGGTGAGGTGAGGGTGAGGGTGAGGTGAAGAGGTGAGAGGTGGGGTTGAAAGGGGTGATTGGAGAGCCTACACTCGACCCCCCAAGTGACAGACTGGTTGCGTTCTCCAGTGCACTTGAGGATCGGAGCTTTGTGATGGGCCACTCCCTTATTGCCAATCCTTGCTACAAAGGGGCAACAGGTAAGCGGCGCGCCACCCAGACGAATACAAAAACCCACGGGGGGTTTATGTAGGTCCAGGTGACCACAAGAAAGGAAAGGAGTTTAGAGAGAGCAAAGCGTACCTAGATGTCGCCTCAGACTGCTGGGCCTCACTATACAGGTTGCCCTGTGATAGTGAGAGCTGCGGGTGGGGAGAGGTACAGATCTTCCCGTATCACCGTTAATAGCTGAACAAGAAAACACCTTGAAGAGGCGAGTGGCAGAACTCTGCAGAAGCAGAGTTATTTACTTTACGAATTACGTTAATGAGCAAAAATCAGTGCAAAAAAGACCGCGGCGCGACTGAGGCCCCGGTAGACCAGGGTTGCTCAGTGACACTTTGGTTTGTTCTTTTTGGCATGAACTTTTACTCCTTCGCAATGACTAGGTGATGGTGGGTCATAGTTGCGACGGGCAAAGCTTGGTATTTATAGGTGGCTCCAGGTGAAACGGTCTCATTGGGACATGTGGCAATGCGGGATGGCCGGGGATTGAGCCAATAGCGTGGCCCACGCTTTCCTTGGCCAGCCGAGGCTGGCGCTGGTGGTGCACTATAAAAGGAAAAATCATAGTTTGGAGTTTATAGCAATACCTCTTGCGAGTGTTGTCAATCATGCCACCCAAGACTTCCGGAAAGGCTGCCAAGAAGGCCGGTAAGGCCAAAAGTCTATCACCAAGGGTGATAAGAAGAAGAAGCGCAGGAGGAAGGAGAGCTACAGCATCTACATCTACAAGGTGTGAAGCAGGTCCACCCTGACACCGGTATCTCTCCAAGGCCATGTCCATCATGAATTCTTTCGTGAATGACATTTTTGAGCGCATTGCCGCTGAGGCTTCCCGCCTTGCCCACTACAACAAGCGTTCCACCATCACCAGCCGGGAGATTCAGACCGCCGTCAGGCTTCTGCTCCCCGGTGAACTGGCCAAGCACGCTGTCAGCGAGGGCACCAAGGCCGTCACCAAGTACACTTCCTCTAAGTAAATTGCTTGGTTGCTCGGTTTTCCGGTCTCCTACAACAACATCGGCTCCTTTAGGAGCCACAGAACATGCAAAAGTTGATAGAAATGACATTAACCAATTTGCCTTGTGCATTCTTTCAAAGTACAGTAATATCAACATATATATCAATGTAATATTCGTTTGAATCGTTAGATTTCGAGTAAGGGATTCATTTTCATCGTTTTTACTGAAGTGTGTGTGTGTTGTCTGTATGATTAAGGATAGAGGAAGTGTGTGTATGATATACGAGAGAGAGAGAGAGAGATGAAAGCTGTGTGTGAATATATATATAGATGTATAGAAATATATGTTGAAAGTATATATGCCTGTATATCATAGTAACATATATGGCTTCCATAATTAGAAATATAACACATGCATTATGCATGGCATATCAATGAATAGGGTATGTATTAATGTAAGAGACAGAGTGGGTGAATAGATTTATATTAGACATACATGTGTATATGTATACAGATATATATATATATATATATTTCATATATTATGTATATAGTTATATATATATTATATATAATGTACGTATATATGTCAATGTTGTAGGTGTGTGTGTGTATTATATAGATAGATAGATTTGTATAATTGTCAAGACATTATATTGATTTAAAATATATATAAAAGCATGTGTCATTCGATCTTCAATGTTATATAACATTATTATTATACACATAAACAAGCAAACAAGATCAAATATGCGGGGATATAACCACGTGCTTTAATGGTTGGCGCAAGCTTTGATTTGTAATTGTATATTTCTTAGTGTTTTCTATAAAATATTATATAATATATTGGTTGAGGTAGGTTAGGTGGGGTGTTTGGTGATTGTAGTGTTTTTGTTTTATATTGATTATTGCCTACACACAAGTGTGTTTGTTTGTTGAACTTTGAAGTCAGTCATTAACATATATATAGTCAATATTTTAGTCAGTCTGTTAGTCACATTATTATTATATTTAGTAATGAATTATGTTGAAGACAGTGTGTGTCTGTATGTCTGTTATTAGTCGAACGACCGACCGGCAAACAATGTATATTGTTGTAGTATTTATATTTGGCATAGTATTCATACCGAAACGTATACGATAAGGAAATCAAGTGCGTTAACAACATGTTGAAAGTCAGTCATGCATGGCTTCGTGCCTTACCTTACTAGTTGCATACCTATCTATCTATCTATCTATGCAATGTCATTGATTCTAATCGTCATTGCTGGTTACATTTGACATCAAAACTAAAGCAAACAAGAAAAAAAGGAAGCATGTCATGTTTTCATCTCAATATTGATTAGTTTAGGCCCTGAAAAGGGCCGAGGAGGATGATTTTGATGTATGCAAGCAAGCTAGCAACCAAAATCTTAGGCGCGCTCTCCGCGGATACGGCGAGCAAGTTGGATATCCTTGGGCATAATGGTTACACGCTTGGCGTGGATGGCGCACAGGTTGGTGTCCTCGAAGAGGCCGACCAGGTAAGCCTCGGAGGCTTCCTGCAGAGCCATGACAGCAGAGGACTGGAAGCGGAGGTCAGTCTTGAAGTCCTGGGCAATCTCACGGACGAGGCGCTGGAAGGGCAGCTTGCGGATGAGGAGCTCAGTGCTCTTCTGGTAACGACGGATCTCACGAAGGGCAACAGTACCAGGCCTGTAACGATGGGGCTTCTTGACACCTCCGGTAGCAGGGGCAGACTTACGTGCTGCCTTGGTGGCCAGCTGCTTGCGGGGGGCCTTGCCTCCGGTAGACTTGCGGGCAGTCTGCTTGGTACGAGCCATTGCGAATGATTGTTTGGAAACAGTCTGGCCGGCTTTTCAAGAGCTGAATTTATACCAGAGCGGGCTTGGCCGTGCGGAGAAGTGTGTGGCTGGCACAGTGTGCGTTGGCGCCGCCCATTTCCCCGGTGTAAGCAGGACCAGAGACCTGGCCAACTTTACCTGTGATCAAAGGAAATCCTTGATGAGAAATGGGACAATTAATACATGATGTCATCAACAAGGTGATTGCAAACATATCGTGTAATGTGTCAGGTGACTTTGGATGGATTGGAAGGTGTAAACAAGTTTATTTGCTTAGAGCGGGCGGTTAAGATGAGCGGCCGGTTGATGCGGCAAGCCTGAGCGCTACGCGAGGGTAGGGAACAGGTACCATTGCTAGGGTTTGCCAGGGCGGATCATCTTCTCGTTTACTCGCAGCAAGACAAGTCGCTACCATGACTGGACGTGGAAAGGGCGGAAAGGGTCTCGGAAAGGGGGGCGCCAAGCGTCATCGCAAGGTGTTGCGTGATAACATCCAGGGTATCACCAAGCCTGCCATCCGTCGTCTTGCCCGTCGTGGAGGTGTCAAGCGTATCTCTGGTCTCATCTACGAAGAAACCCGTGGTGTCCTCAAGGTATTCCTCGAGAACGTGATCCGTGACGCCGTCACATACACCGAGCACGCCAAGAGGAAGACCGTCACCGCCATGGACGTCGTCTACGCTCTCAAGCGCCAGGGACGCACCCTGTACGGTTTCGGAGGTTAAACGTTTTCAACAAGATCGAAAACGTCAACCACCAAACGACAACCATTACCACCAAAAACCTTGGACCTATCTTAGGTCCTAAAATTATTACAGAGATATCATCGTTGACTGACTGTTTGGCTCTTGCTTTTATTTTTAAGTGTTTGATTTAGTTATTTAGCTTTTGGGCTTGTCGGCGTTAGAGGGAGCATGTTTGTGGGCAAAAAATCATTTACTTACAAAGAAAGAATGACAGAGTTTACCATACATTCATACATGGATAGAATCAATGCAATGATAGGCCTATGGCAACTTGTTTGGGTATCAGAGAGTGAAATAGATCCATGTTGTAAGGGGTGACTATTTAAAACAAAACACACACACTCTTATGTTGACGTGATTTATGAGTGGGTGTCTATTATTCAAGTCATATCAATAATTTTTGGCTGACACGACTCGACTTGATATATAGATGTTGGTTGTTTGTATACATTTATTGAGCGTTATATAGTTTTTGTGTACGAGGGTGGTGGATTTGTGTTAATGACAAACTAACTACAAGGATAGCTTGACAAACAATATTGAATAATCAATAGTAGCGTCAATGTTGCAGATGAATTGAGTATCATATTGGGGATGCACATGTTTGTTTGCTTTAAATTAATAGTCATATATGCATGAACGAAGTCACAAAGCAAGCAACCAAAATTATGAACAACTCAAGTAATGGAGTCTTTCAGTCATAAACGTTTATGGAATATAATTGAATCAAAGAATATCAGAGCTATGTCACAAACAAACACATTCAAAACATTCATTCACACTCAATCATATAATCAATCACCATTAACAAGCATATTCAAAGTCAATACACATCTCAAACACAAACCAAAGACAAAGACAAAACAAACAACTACTTGTATCAAGCATGAACACAGCAGAGCAGATAATCATACACAAGGACCAAAAACAAACAAACACAACAAAAATGTAGTCAGTCAATCACTTACCTAATAACCATCTATCAATCAATCTGGAGGCTAGCTTACACGAGCGACACAAAGACAGACAGACAAAGAAAGAAAGGCACACACACACCAAAACATCCAAGGAACAAGAAACATACACCAACACCAATAACAACCAACAGGGGGGAGGGGAGGGGGGACCCAACAACAAAAACACAACAAACAACAACAAACCAAATTCAAAAGACAGAGTCAAATCAAAAAAACACATCAAAACAAACAAATCAAATCCAATCCATTTCATTTCATGTTACTTTACTTTGCTCTTGCCTCGGGGAGACCTACACGGCCGAGCCTTGGACTGTGTCACACAGAAATGGACTCTATGCGTACTGATACACACAAATATAGGCCTTATTCGCTGTATAAACACTGAGACACACAAATATAGGCCTTATTCGCTGTATAACAGCTAACTACCAAACTGGTATTCCGGTCTTTTTGGCAACGCTTTTTTTTTGACAGAAAATATCTCAAAGTATCACGAGTAATCATTGTTTTACAGTCCGTACAATACAAATATGTTGAAACAAACTGTAGGCAAAGGTAGACTAAACACGTGTCAATGAACAAGTCTCAAATACTAGCTTATCATACCAAATAACAATTTCTGCAATCGATATTCACACAAATAATCACATATT